ATCTCCGGGCAGTCGGGAGTCATCTCGGTTGGGCTTGAGCTGTAGGGGGGAGGAGGCCGGGAGGGTCCGAGCGTCACCCACTCTGTCTGTTCCAGATCATCGACAAGAGTAAAAGGGACCCCTCAGAAGAGATCGAGATTCTCCTGAGGTACGGCCAGCACCCGAACATCATCACCCTCAAAGACGTAAGTGTCCTGCGCGGCAGCCACGCCGCCGGTGCTTTGCGTTTCTTCAGCTGGTACCCAGAGCTGCCGTGGGTTTGGTGCCAGCTTGTGGCGCGGCTCCCCTGCTGAGCCTGGTGCCCGTGCCCCTCGGAGGGAGTCGCCCACAGCTGGGTGGCCTGACCTGCGGTTGATTGCACCCCTCCTCCCGACTCTCGTGATGAAAGAGGAGGGATGACCGGTGTGGGTTCTAACCCAGGTGTGCTGACTCACTGTCATGAGGAGTGTGGAGTGGAAGAGGCGGAGGATCAGCCCTGAGACCCCAGACCGCAGCCCCTCCCAGCTTCCCTGACTTTCCCTGTTGATCGATTCCTGGTCCTTGTCCCTGACGGAGGTGGGGGAGCAGGAACCAGGCACATGGGAGCCAGTCCACAGCATCTCATACAGGCCTAGGGGCAGGGCCTCGGGGTCAGGGAGGGGAGGGGGCGCTGTCTTCCTCTCCAACTTTGCCCTCTGACTCTGGAGTGGCCCCAGCATCATGAACCCAAAACCTTCAGGCATGGAGGGCCCTGTAAATCCCTGGGGTAAGGGGCCTTCCAGATGCCAGCGCAGCACTGAGGAAGGCGTGAAACAGGACCTCAAGTGACCACAGCCTGAACCGCAGCCCCGTTGCGTCCCCGGTGGGTCACGTCAGCTCCCCAGCTCAGAACCAGTCCTCCTGCTGTTCCCTTCTTCGTGCGAGTGCTAAGATCCACGAATAGAAACCAGCTAATTTGAAACCCTAAGTGTCTCAGGCCACTCTGACTCTGTTTGGGGTGAGTGATGCCACGTGTGCCCAGGCTCGGAAGTAGAGCGTTTGATTGTAAACTCAGAGACAAGCACACCCAGATTAACTTTACATCCTTTACTGAGCTCAGAATCAGGCAGATCATTGTAGTGGTTTGTTCTGAACGTTACTGACCTGTAGGCCAAAAAGTCATCGCATTTAGGAGCTTTTGCCTCTGTTCCCCCAGCCCTGAGTCTTGTCAAGGCTAGGGCAGCCCGTCTCTGGGTGGTGCGCGCGCAGCGTGACCCGGAGCCCCAGCTGGTTTGGTTTTGTTTGTCTTTTAATTTCTGAAGCTAGTTTGCCCACAGCTGCCTTTCTCTACGGCTTTTCTGGAACAAAAGCAGGTGAGCCCTCCTGCCTCCTCCCCGGCTGGGCTCCTGGGGCCTGTCCCCGGAGCAGCACAGAGGGCCCAGGGCTTGGACCTGCTGGGCCAGGGCCTGCCTGTCAGCCTGCGGGGAGGCCCCAGAGGACACCGCTCCGGCGCTGTACCAGCATCCTGCTTGTCAGTCTCTGAACCTCTGCCTCGAGGCAGGCAGTTCCGGGCTCCACTGCGGCCAGATCCATCCTGGCAGCCGTTAGCTCTCAGCCGCGCTGGCTCGGCCTGGCCCAGCGGCACACCACTGCCGCTGTTTGTTTCCTAAGAGCCACATCTGGTGCGATTGGAAAGGCCCTTCCCTCAGGCTCTGCAGAAGCTGTGTTTACTCCCAGGGGAGCCCTGAGGCCCCAGGCTCTCCGCGCTGACGCCCCTCCCCCTCTGGAGAGGCCCCTCCTTCCCTGCCAGGGCGACCGCGTGGCCCCTGAAGCCTGCGTGTGCCCCTTCCCGCCCCCAGGTCTACGACGACGGGAAGTCTGTGTACCTGGTGATGGAGCTGATGCGGGGCGGGGAGCTGCTGGACCGCATCCTCCGGCAGAGGTGCTTCTCAGAGCGGGAGGCCAGCGACGTGCTGTGCACCATCACCAAGACCATGGACTACCTCCACTCGCAGGGGGTAAGGCGCCTGCCCGCCCAGCCTCGCGGGGAGGGGCACAGGAAGGACGGACAGGGAGTCACTGAGAGCTGCTCACCAGCGGGGGTCTCAGGGCTCCTCGTCTTCCTTCCAAACCACACCCATCCCTCTTGTGTCTAAAAGCAGTGTGTCCGGGAGCGTGGTAAAGAGGTCAAGCTCCCCTGGCCCGGGGACAGCAAGAGGACTTTGGGCTTGATAAGGGGAAATGTTGGGATCTCCGTTACTCTCCCCGTTTAACTCTGAATTCTGGGGGGAAGGGCATGGCTCAGTGGTAGAGTGTGTGCTTAGCATGCACGAGGTCCTGGGTTCACCCCCCAGTACCTCCTCTAAAACTAAATAAGTGAATGAACCTAATTACCTCCTCCCCCCACCAAAAAAAGAATATATATTATTTAAGCCAATAGATTCAAAGTAGGATTTCAACTTGTAATCAAAAAAAATTTTTTTAAACTGAATTCCTTCACTAATGCCAAGGAATAAATCCACAGGGAAATGACAGTGATGGCCAGGGCTCACGCAGCCCTCACCAGCTCCAGGCCCTGCTCTAGGCTCTTCACCTAGGCAGGTCTAGACTGGATTGCACCCACTTCACAGATGAGGAGGCCAGAGCCCAGAAAGGCTGAGGATGTTGCCCGAAGCTGGGTTCTCTGTGCCCAACGCCGCGCTCCCAGGCCCCTTCCCCCAGCCCCGGGCTCCGCCCCCCGGCCTCTCCACCTCCCAGGAAGCGAGCAGCATTTCCTTAGCCAGCTCTGTGGGTGTGGCCGGAGGCTTGAAAATGCGATCACCTCTAAACAGGATCTCTTCCAGGACCGCAGGGTGGTCACTGGCCGTCTGGGGACAGGAGCATGTCCCAGAATAGTCAAACTCTAGAAGAAGCCCTTCAGGTGGTGCTTTTGCAGACTGGCTTCTACATAAGGAGGGGAAGCAACGGGATTGCAATGGACACCTTTTGTTCCCTTGCCCACTGGGCCTCCGTGAGCCTGCTGTGCCCCTTTAACTTCCCCACCCCGTCCTCTGCCCAGTATTAACAGAACAATGAGACACGCAGGTCCCAAGCTGTCTGCAGGCACGCCCCGTGCTCTGACAATCGGCCTCTGTCCCTTGCAGAAGAAATCGCTTTGTGCCCTAAATAGCGCTGTGCTTTGAGGCGTTGCTGGCCCTGCCATCCTTACGGCAGTCAGTCGCTGGCCCTGTCCTGGGGGCCCAGGATGCCCTGCACCCCACGCGGCTCCAGGCTTTCTGCTCACAGCCGTGAGCTCATGCAGAGGCTCCTTGTCTGCGTCACTCGCTGGGGTACCTGACACCTGGAACGTAGCAGGCACAAGGCGGGTGTTTATCAGTAGAAATCTCCCCTTCACGTGCCCTGAGCTCACCATCACTGTCCTTCCACGTGGTGGCCCCGAGATCCTGGACACGTGCCTACTCATTTATTCAGTCAAATACTTGCCATCCCAGGGGCTTATGTAGGATCCTCTGATTTGAATGTCAGTGTGAAAGAGGCAGGAGGGCCTGCAGAGATCACAGCATCCCAGCCGACCGCTTCCTGCCGCAGGGCCTGCCCGGAATAAACCCCCGTCTGCTGAGTGCATCGCGCCTTCTCCCTCCTGCTCTGTCCTGGGCTCCCAAGTCAGCAGTGATTCCTCCTGCCTCTCCAGGTGGTTCATCGAGACCTGAAGCCCAGCAATATTCTATACATGGACGAGTCTGGAAACCCCGAATCCATCCGAATCTGTGACTTCGGGTTTGCCAAGCAGCTTCGAGCTGAGAACGGGCTGTTAATGACCCCCTGCTACACGGCCAACTTCGTTGCCCCCGAGGTGAGAGGACCACAGAGCCCAGGGGTCAGGGAGGCGGGCCCTTCCCGACTCTCAGAGGAGCTGTGTGGCTCGGTGTGCCGGAGTCCGCGGCCTCGTTAGGTCGCGGAAACGAGAAGCTTCGGTCTCTTGGGGATCAGCTGCTGATCTTACTCAAACACAGTTCTATCATTTTATTTTCTATTTGTAAATTTTTAGTGGTGAAACTTTCATGTAGAATTGTCATTGTGCTGCAGACAATTTAGGTCAAATCTGCCTGTCAGGAGTTACACTGAGGAATAATGTCGCCAGTCCCTCCCACGACCGGGAAGGGAGCCAGTGGGTCACGTGTGGTAAGAAATTACCTACAGTGCACGTTTGTGGACTTACTTCGTGCCAGAATTCTTGCTCCAGATTGGTTTCCATAACAGAAGCAAGCCAGAAGCGGAGGAGGGTGTCGCTCAAGGGTAGAGTGTGTGCTTAGCATGCACGAGGTCCTGGGCTCAATCCCCAGCGCCTCCATGAAATACATAAATAAACCTAATTACCTCCCCCCCAAAAAAGGAAAAACAATCGTTAAAAAAGAAAAAAGAAAAAAGGAAGCAGGTCAGGAGCTGGCTCTGACGTCAGGGCTCCGCAGAGATCTGCAGGTGAGAGCGCGCGTGACTCTGAGGGCTCCCCTTCCCGCCCCCTCTCCTCGGGCATCGGCAGCCTCAGCCCAGCTTGTGTGCCTCCCCGCCTCAGGCTCCCAGGGACGGCTTCCAGCAGGTGGGACGCTGGTGAAAGCCGGCCTGGAACAGTAGGGCTGACGCTGCTGGGTGCGGGAGGGACCGGGAGTGCGGACAGACGTTAGACTGCGTGGATCCTTCTGGTTGTTGGTGAGACCCGCCCAGGGTGGCCCTGGTGCGGGTGCTGGGACACACACAGCAAGCCCTAAGAGAGGGGCGTGCTGGCACCTAGTGGCCGGTCTGCGAGCCGTCTGAGAGGTGACCCCCGCGGGGGTCCAGGAGGAAGCTGGCTGTGCGCCTGCAGGGACGGATGGGTCCGCAGCGGGGCGCAGGCTGGGCGGCCGTTATGAGGTTGTCCCGACGCTCCCTGGGCCCTTTAGAAACAATCCAGTTCTGTTTGGGCAGCGGGATTGTCGTGTTTGATCAGTGCTAATGTTAACAGTATTGATTTCAGTGATTACAGACTGCCTTAAATTGCTGTGTGACTTTACCGTTTACCGAGCACTTTTACCAGGAGTTTTGCCTTCGTCCTCAGAGGCCCTGTGGGGTGGATTGGTACATACTATAAGCCACACTTCACAGATACAAAAAAAAACCAAAAAACCAGGCTCAATGTGTTGTGTTGGAGTGACTTCGAAGGTCACCCAGCTAGTGAACTCAGCCCTCGCTGTGGTCACATGCCCCGGCGACCTTCCGTGCCGCAGGCACCACGCCCGCGGCGCGGAGATCATGGCCCTCGTGTCTAACTCAGCTCTCCTGCCCCACGTTCCGTGTCATCCGTGACCCACAGTCATCCGGAGCACCTGTGTGGCTTCCTTTGTTGTTGCCCAACTGTAAACGTATCGCAGATGGCCCTCTGCTGAGACCGGTGATCCTGGGGTGCAGGGAAGTCCTCCCGTCTTCACTGTTCCTCGAGAAATTAAGTACAGAGAACCAGGTGACGGAGCAACTCCACGTCTGGGTATAAACTGCAGAGAGTTGAAAGTAGAGGCAAACACAGACGCCTGTACCCTCGTCGCAGCAGCGTTATTCACAGCCGCCAAAAGGGGAAACACCCCGGGTGTCCATCGGCGGTGGACGGCACCGTGGAGCATTGTTCAGCCTTAGAAAGGAAGGGGGTCCTGTCCCATGCTGCAGCGCGGGTGGGCCTTGAGAACATTGTGATAACATGATACACCCGAAAGAAAAGGGTGATGATCTGATTGCTCTCTTATGAGGAACCTGGAATAGTTAGACTCACAGAGACAGAAAGGAACGTGGTAGTTCCCAGGGTCTGTGCGGAGGGAGCACGGGGCGCTGTTTGCTGTGGGGACAGAGTTTCAGTTTTGCAAGAGGAAAAGGGTTCTCTGGGTGGATGGTGGCGGTGGCTGCACAACAGTGTGAGTGTGCTTAATACCACCAAACTGTATGGTAAACATAGTGAGGATGGTGGGTGTTACGCTATGTATATTTGACTGTAGTAGAAAAAATTCTTCTGCCTGAAGGATTACGCGTTTGCTTTCCAGTCTGTGTGTCTGGGACGAGGCACGCTCCCTGTGCGCGCTGGTCTTCGGAGAGCCCTGTTGCAGGGAGCTGGGGTTGGTTTCATGTCAATGGATGGCAATGCCACTGAAGACGTCCCACCCCCTCCCGGTCCCCACCCTGCCGGGCACGCTGTGAACTTGAACTTCTTCTCTGCCGAGTGCCGATCTGCCACCTGCTTCTCCTCTCACAGGTCCTGAAGCGCCAAGGCTATGACGCAGCGTGCGACATCTGGAGTCTGGGGATCCTGCTCTACACCATGCTGGCGGGGTAACACAAGCCCTCCCCTGGGTGTCGGGGCCCTGGGGCAGCCCTGCCGGGGTGGCTGTCCCTTCTGGGCCTGTCCCCTTGACAGACTCTTTCGGCCTCTTCAGGAGAACCAAAGAGCAAGGACAGGAAATTCAGTCGTGCGCAGAGTGTATCTCCAGAGTTAGGGACCGGGCTACAGAGCTCCGCTCATCAGCAAAAAGCCAGGCCTTGGCGTCATGTCCGCGCTGTCTCCTCTGCACCAGGCACCCTCTGCAGAGGTCACAAGCTTCCCTTAGAAACATCCTCTCGAGCCAAGAGGCAGCAGCATCTTGAGGAAGGCAGGCAGGGACCCGCTCCGTCGTAGCAGGACGGCTGGGTCTGCCGTCTGCTGTCTGCCCTCCTTCCCGCCTGCGCTCTGCCCGGGCAAACCCTTGACCCTGACAGCCTCACTGCCCTCAGTTTTGAATGAGAAGTGGGTGCTGTGTGGTATTTAAGGCTCCTTCCAGCCAGGAAGGTCTAGGATCCCAAGATCCTAGGTGCCCAGTGTTTTTCTTTTAACTAAATGCTTGAGTGGAGGGGACTGGGGATGGTGCCTACACCATCCAGTCCTGTTGACTTGACTGTGGACTGTTTCCAGTGAGTCAATGCTAGTGTCACGGTGGCAGGAGCAGGGTGCCCCTCTGCGGGCTGCAGCCATGCAGGACACCTGGCACTTTCCTCCCGATACCCTACGATTGGGCCACTTCGTGATTCTTCCAGGGCTGACTTGGCCGACACATGGACTCGGAGCAGAAGCTCGGCCGCTGAAGGAAATGCTGTCAGATTAGGCTCCAGCTCCCTTCCCTGGAGGCACACACTGCCATGCCCTGGTTTATGCCGAGGCGTGACAGTAATCGTCTGTCACCCACTGGCCGTGGGGCAAGTCCTCTTGCGTTTATGTGTTTGTGTCTGTCGCTGCTGTAGGTCCCTGCCAGCGTATTATTCTGTCCACTGTACAACTGAGGCTCAAAAATTAGTTTGTCAAAAACCTAGAGTTAGTGACAGATCCACCGGGGTCCCTCAGACGTCCCGTCTCAGGCTCATCCATTCTTCACACTTTCACCACGGAAACCAAATCACCGGGCAAACCACAGTGCCACCCAGTCACCAGGGGAGCCAGATGCAGTCCAGAAAGGTTCGCCCTTGGTCCACAGAACCTTCTTCACTTGCCTTGTCACCCTATAGCACTGGCCAAGTGAGGAAAGCAGACGCAGCAGTGAGAAATACCTGACACCCGACGGAAAAGGAAAATCATTCTTTTTAACAACAAGGAGGCGAGATCAAGTGGTGGACTTCACTTTAGATTGTAAAGAGAAGCTCATTACGGTAAATGCTCTCACCACACAGCTTTACCCCTTTCGCAAATGGACCGGATGACACGCCGGAGGACATCCTGGCGAGGATCGGCAGTGGGAAGTACGCCCTCTCTGGGGGAAACTGGGATTCCATATCCGATGCCGCAAAGGTGAGTGGCTTCCCGCGGCCCTTCCTTCTCCGGTATGGAGATGCTGCAGCAACCGCTTCACCTTTGAGGACGCTAGAGGACACTTGGCATAGAAATAATATACATATTTTATACTCATAGATTTTTTTAAGCCACTGAGCAAAAATAATTTTTTTTTTGCAGAAACATTTCATAGCAGATCACGGTTGTAACTGTGCCTGTGTGTACATGGATTGCAACCTGTAAACTCAAAGTGGGCTCTGTCTTCAAACCAGCTTGAGGGGTTTTGTTGTTATTTCTTTACAATCACCTGTGCTGAACATGAGCCCCTCTGGACCCATGTGATGGCTGCAGGTTATTAATTCCATGGTTGGTGATTATTTGTAGCAGGTATTTGGGGGTGCTCCAGATAAAATGAAACTGAAGGCAATGCTATGAATTGGTTACCATCTGTGGGGTGGTGCTTATTTCAGCTTCTCCCTTTGGAGGATTATCATTTTTACTAAAATAATGTTTCAGTAACTTAAATGCACCATTTAACATCTCCACGTTTAATTTCTCTTTAGACGTAAAATCTTTAATACAATATAAATCTGGAGTGACCCACCAAGTTGATGATGGTTAAAACTTAAAAAAAAAAATTTCACATACTTATACACCTGAAAGTAAACATTTGGCCCCAAATGCAAAGACTCACTCTCAGAACGATGATTAGGTTTTGCTGTAAGAGAGAAAAGGAATTTTGCTAGGAAGGCCCTTTGAACCAGCGGCAATGAGTCCCTTCCTCTTCTTCTTCTTCTTTTTTTTTAATGGAGGTCCTGGGGATTGAACCCAGGACCTCGTGCGTGCTGAGCGCGTGGTCCACCCCGAGCTCTGCCTCCCCTGTCTGTGCCCTCTTTGACCCCCGCAACAGGATGTCGTCTCCAAGATGCTCCACGTGGACCCTCATCAGCGCCTGACGGCTGTTCAAGTCCTGAAACACCCGTGGGTTGTGAACAGAGAGTACCTGTCCCAGAACCAGCTGAGCAGACAAGACGTCCACCTGGTGAAGGTACCGGCAGGTGGTCCCGACAAAATGGTGGGAGTGGGGACTCCAGGAAAGTGGCCCTGAAACCTGCACAGTTGATTTGAAGCGGTCACGGTGTGTGGAGAGGGAACCGATAGCAGGCACACAGAGGCGTCCCAGGTGCACTTACTTTTACTTATTTCATCACAGACACACAGTCACACGCAGAACTCTGAGTCAGTTACGACTTCTGTGAACATTTCTGAACAGCTTCGTTGCACGCATGAGAGAGAGACAGACAGAGGCGGAGAGAGACAGAGGAGGAAAGACAGAGACAAAGACAGAGAGATAAAGGGAGAGACAGAGGCAGAGGAGGAGCAGTAAGAGGGTCCTCACGGGGATCAAGAGGTCTGCATCTCCGGCGCCGCTGCTCGTGTGCTTATGGTGGAGTCTCCGCCCAACCTTCCCTCCTCTGACCCTGTGGTGCAACCATTAGTTCCGCGCCGAGCCGCTGCATCCCTGTGCCTTGAACCTTCGAGCAGCCAGGCGGTGGCCTCCTGTCACCTCGGGAATGATGCACTGGCCCCTGGTGTGCAGTCCAGACAGACTGACACCATCCAGAGCACTGGGGGGTCTACACTGCAGGAACAGGCGGTCCCACCTCACATGCCTGGTGGCTCCAGCTTTGGAGTTGTGCGAGTTGAGGACAGAGGCCAGGCTCCCCGGGGAGGCTCTAATCCATCTTCTCAGACCAGCTGTTGCCGTCACACAGCACACTGCACCCTAGTCCTGCTCATCAGGCACTGTGACCATGTCCGGAGAGTTCCACTCTCCTCTTAGGATGTGTGAGACCGGGAGCCCCGGTCAGCCCTCCCGCACACCACAGCCCCATCCCGCTCCCGGGAGCCCTGCATCCTGGGCGGGACCCTCTTCTGGGAGGCAGGCTGCCCCCAGCTGTGCAGGGACGGCGCTGTCCTGCTCAGAGCTGCCCTCTCTAGGCCTTCCCGGGGACTTAGAGCTACTCCAGGACGACCCCAGTCACCCCAGTTAGACCGAGGTCCCCAATGGCAGAGCTGGAGGTGACAGACCCCGTTGCCACAAGGGGACCCCCGCGGACCAAGCAGTCGCAGGGCAGACCTGGCCGCAGCCAGCAGCGCAGGGACCGTGCGAGCCTGGAGCTTTCCCCGGGGCCACAGCGCAGCTCCTGGCGGTGGGAGGCGGGGTGGCGAGGGGGCCCGGCAGGGAGCACAGCACCCCCGCTGTTTGAGAGCTCGGCTCCCGGGTCCTGAAGGAGGCCTCCCGTCCCCCGAGGCCGGCACCGTGTCACCCGCCTCCCCCTTCGTTTTGCAGGGAGCGATGGCCGCCACCTACTTCGCTCTAAACAGAACACCTCAGGCCCCGCGGCTGGAGCCGGTGCTGTCGTCCAGCCTGGCGCAGCGCCGGGGCATGAAGAGGCTCACGTCCACG